AAGCCCTTCCTGCCTGCCTGACCACTCACACAAATCCCTGATGGCTCCAGCCACTCAATTCTTTCTGCATGTAAATAACCAGCCAAATGTTACCTATGTTACTCTTTACATCTCTCCTGTCCATTGGTACACAGCAAGCTAGGGGTCCCTGGTTGGCCCCTCACCTGTGGTTAGGTAAAGCACATGGAAGGTTCCCTCGTGTCTGGCTTGCATGCGGTGGACGACCACTTTCTGGTAGTGGTATTTAGAGTGGAACAATGGCGTCTTCAGAGGTCCCATGGGCTCCACCCTCTGGGCCACCTCGGGGTGACTGTCGGCCACCTGGAAGGTCTGCGTGGGTATGGGCTTCTGGTTTGGGAGGCACTAGGGAGGAGAGCAGGCCCATCAGTGGGCAGCTGGGAGTGTAGGTGGGAAGGGCTAGGGCCTGGGCACCGCGGTGTCACCACTCACCTTGCCAGGCCGAGGGTTGGGAAGGCCCATGTGGTAACCCTTGAGCAAAGAGGTACGGAAGATTCTATCGATGTCACCAAGGGAATAAACACAGACAGCAGAGTAGTTCCTGTGGGGACAGAGACCACCTCCTAACTCCAGAGCCCCTGTCTCTCTCAGGCCAGCCCCATGCCACGCAAGGCACCACTACCACCCCTGGTCCATGAGCTCAGTGAGCCAGGTCTATCCTTGGAGCTAAGGGCCTGGCATAGCATTATCAAATACCACTGAAGGGAGGGACAGAAGGAAGGAGAGAAAGGAGAGAGGGAGGGGAGGGAGGGAGGTAAGCTAAACTTTACTGCTTCCTGCTACAGCCTAAACCACAGCTTACGTTGTGTCAGAGCACTGCAGAGTTAAACTGGTAGTTCTCCACTCTAGGCACAGGCTGTGGGGTGCTGGGACCCCAGAAGACCAGAACTTCATCCTTTTCCCACACAGGAGCCACAGAAAAGGGTCATGGCTTACCCTCCTTGGCCCCTCCCCCTGTTTACTATGCACTTTTGCCTGCCTTGTTTTCAATCAATGAGAGTGATTAAGAAGTGTGAACTATCAGGCGGGAGCAGTGCTGAGCAGGTGTGATGGCACCCAGCACCCCAACAGAAGCCCCAGTAGCCCATTCTAGAGCCCACGTTAGTTCCAAGCACACACATGGTGGGACACACAGGTGTGTGTGTGTGCACAAGGTGTGTGTAGACTCAGGAATGCAGAACACATCATCCGGACTGCCCCCACCCTGCACCCAGCAATAGCCCTGTCCTGAGCCTGCCGTTTCTGCTCATGCTACACCAACCCTGCCCTTAGCAGAGACCAGGTCCAATGCCAACGCCAGCCCCAGGATGAGGGTCACTCACCAGGGGTTGGAGAAAACACCATAGACCTTGGTGTCCCTCCAGTTGCCACTGGGGTCAGGAAGCAGGAAGACATCCTGTAGCCGGTTGAAGTTCTTGTTGGTGGTGGCATCGCTGCACACTAGCATGGCTTTCAGGAAGGTGTTCCACTTGGAGACTGACAGGGAGCTCTCACCTCCCTGGTCCCCCTGGAAGGAAGAGGCAGAGGAGGCTGTTCAGAACTTGTCTGGGCTGCCACCCCATCCAAGGCCCCTCTCCGGAATGCTGGCACCAGGCTGGGGAACAGGAAAGCAGCTGCCAGGGAAGCCGGGACACCAGGGGGTGAGGAGACTAAGACAAGACCGGTTTCCAAGTCAGGCTACCCAGCAGGTCTAGGGGCACAGGGCCCATGGTGAGCTTTGGTGCTGGGTTGCCTTAAAGCAGACAGCTGACACACCTGCCACCTACATGCATGTACTGTGTAAACACATGGGTGCACAGTCACACATGGCACATTATGATCATACAAGCAAAACACACCCATATAAACATGTTGTTATACATCTACACACTCACACATGGCACAGTATCCACACAAATGGAACACACTTAAACACATTTGCACATTTGCATGACACAAGAGTATACCCATACAAGAGGAACATGCTTGTGTAAGCATGCTTTTACACACACATCCACATGGCAAGAATATGCATATAAGCAAAACACCAGTGTAAACACCCTGTTATACACCTGAAGTCACACATAGCTTAGTTTATTCATACAAGAGGAACAAACATATCTAAACACATGGTTACACACTTGTACACACAGCTGGCACAGGATATTCGTATAAGACACACTCATGTAAACACACTGTTACATACATGGTACAGCATACAAGTGGAATATACTCGTGTAAATATGTCACATACTTGCACGCCCACACAGCACATTCACCCACGCAGGACATGTATGTGTAAATATGGTTGTGCACATGCACATTTACACACTCCATCTCAACATCTTTACACATACACATGAACTGTGAGTGCACACATCCATTCCCATGGTCCTAGACATAGTCGCTCACATCTGTGCAAGCAGACACTCGCTCATCCTCACTTGCTCAACTGTACATGTACAGACATACACTTGCCCTCACAGCCACTCACCCTGCACAGCTGGGCAACTCGGGACACATTGAGAGGAGACTCAGGATTCTTGTCAGGATTGTCCTCCCGGAAGAAGTAATAGATCTTGTCATCGTAGGCCTGGTCTTGATGCACAATTGTGGCCTTGATGAACTGCGGGTCTGTGGGGACACAGGATGTGAGACTGGGGAACCTGCATGCAGCAGCCCTGCCCACCCTGGGCAAAGCAGGCCTGGAATAAGCTCGGAACGTGAGGCCCTGTACCCCAAGAGGCTAAGGGCTCAGCAGTTGCACCCCACATCTGTTCATCCTCATACAAAGATGTCATGGGCTCAAGAGCAATGACTTCATGCCTGGGGACTGTGGGAAGGCCCCCAGGGGCCCCTATGTCACTTCTGCCTAATTGGCAGAGCCTTAATGAGGAGGGGGCTGGGCTGCCTGCAGGAGCCCAGCAGAGGGACTGAGCAGCAGGTCCAGCCTCCTCTGTACCTGTCCCCAGCACATGGCAGGCCTATCCTGCCTCCACACCTCTGTATCCAGGTTCCTCACTCTGGCTGCTCAGGCCTTTGTGGAACTCCCTCTTTCCTGGGTGGTCCCAGGGGAGCCTTCCCAAGAAACATCAAGACCCTACCCAGCCCCACCCTGGGCATCCACACCCTCATCCACCCAAAGCCAGGCCAAGCCGACTCACTCTGCATGACGGTATCACTGGTGTACAGCTCACTCTCACCCCGGATGCGACGGAATCGTGGAATCTTCCCATTGTACTCCTGCTTCCGGATGGTAGAGTACACCTCATCCCCTGGGGACACGGGGTGGGGGGGAAGGCACACAGCCCCTGCATATTCCTCTCAGCCGGC